TTAGATTACTTCGCAAGTTAGGCAGTACTGATGGACGCTATAAAGAACTTAAAGACGCCATCAGAAAGTAAATACTCTCACACTAGTATTTATACCATTACCTTCCTTATAGAGCCACACCTCCTCTTATACCATATTTGGCATTGACTATGAGTGAGCTGGTGAGTGTGTCCGAGAGTGCATCAAACTATATTGAAGGAGATTTGGTTAACTTTACTAAAATGAGAAGAGTAAGTACAAACTATAACAGAAATGCATCTTTTAACTTATATCATAATTTAATAATTAATACCCATGCATCTGTAATTTGAATTGCATAAATTATTGATTACTTTTCTACAGTACACAAGAATCATACACAGTCTTCTACAGCATCAGAAAGACCCATACGATTTTAACTTTGATCCTGAGGTACATAAATTAAATTAAATTTTTCAAAACAATTATTTTTAACACTAATAGATATCTAAAGTATTGCTGACAACAGAGTTGCCAGGAGATGAGAATGCTCTTTATGAATATGTTGATGAGCTTAGAGACTGTCCTTTATCACCTTCTTCCTCGTCCTCCTCTTCCTCTGAACAATAGATTAATGCATTATCATTATAACACTTCATGTGTCTCAAACATGTTAACTTTATACTGTCTGTTTTATTTTGTATTTTATTTGTCCAAAATTTTTTACTATATTTTATAAATTGCAAGCACAGATTTTGCAGAGAGTTTGAATGTTTTATAATCTCTTGCTTTTCATGAATATATTAATTTTTTAAAATTTATGTGTGTATAGCAATATTGTTATCTCCTCCACAATGATTACTTATATCAAGAGTCCATTATATTTAATGGACTCTTGCTTATATGCACTTGATTATCACAGGTGACTGGCATCATTAGCATCAGGGCCATCACATGCAACTCTTAAATTTTAAACAGGAGTCTCTTCAAATTTAGACTAATATAACATTGTGTTAATGTTATGGTAATATAACAGTCTAGACTCAATATTAATTCATTACAGATTTTGCATTTATAATTTATTGCTAACTTTAAATTGGCATGTAAATGTAATTGTAGTGACCGAATGGAGAGAGCTTGACCTTCGTATTTTGTAAATATTGATTATTGTAAAAAGGCTAAAATCTCTTCCGACAAAAATGAAAAGAGCATACACTTATATACAAACAGTATTACATCACATGACAAAACATTACACAACAATCAGAATCAGTATACATGAACTAATAAGCATAGTAAATCATAAGCATCAGCTAGAAGGAAAAGAAATAACATCGTACAGCAATGCAATAATAATAATAATTAATAATAGTAATAATAATAATTGTAATAACAATAGTAGTAATAATAATCATAATAACAATAATACTAGAAATAACTGTAATCAAAATGCCTTAGAAAATAATAATAGGAATCAATACCAAAATAATATATCAATATATAACACCCCTCCCCTCTTAAGTTAACATACATACGGCCCATAATCAGTAGTCATCCTTGAACGAGTCGATCGACGAATCGGTGGGGGCAAAGGAGGCGGAGTAGGAGGTGGAGGCACGTTAGGAATCAATGGAGTGAAATCATCATCCCAATCACTGTCCTCCGGCAGGGTATCTGGCTCAGAGTCTTCAGTGTACCTTTTTCTGAGCTGATCAGCATGTCTTTTAAGCACTAAACCATCCATAGTTTCAACATGGTAAGACAATGGTCCAGTGACCTTACAGACAACCACAGGAATCCATAATGGCTTCCCAGAGTAGTTCCTTGCAAACAGCTTGTCATGTAGCTTGAATGATCTTGCATTGCTTTTAGTCTTCTCTTTCTGTGAAGGTAGAGTGAAATCTGGGTGAGCAGTATCTAAGACTGATCTTAATCTACGTCCCATTAAGAGTTCAGCTGGGGATTGCCCAGTAGTAGATTGAGGAGTGATTCGGTAAGAGAAAAGGAATCGAGCAATTCTTTCATGTAGTGGTCCTTCCATCTTCTTAATAGCATTCTTAAATGTCTGCACTGCTCTTTCTGCTAAACCGTTAGACCTCGGATGGTAAGGAGCTGTTAGTGAATGGCGAATACCATTTAGAGACATGAATTTTTTAAATTCTTGACTAGTAAATGAAGGTCCATTATCAGAGACCAACTGATGAGGAAGACCATGAGTAGAGAATATGTGACGAAGGACTTTGATAGTCGCTTCAGAGGAAGTAGAAGGTACAATGCATACTTCTAACCAGCGAGAGTGAGCATCTACCAGAATGAGGAAGTAGTGTCCCAGGAAAGGACCAGCATGGTCTATATGAAGTCGTGTCCATGGAGTCTTTGGAACTTCCCATGGGTGTACAGGAGTTTGAGGAGGGAGAGCACTGTTTTCTTGGCATGCCTTACATTTCTTTACTAGATCTTCAATTGCCTTGTCTAATCCAGGCCACCAGAAATAGCAGCGGGCTAGACTCTTCATTTTCGACATTCCCTGATGTGCTTCATGTAATTGAAGAAGAATAGCTGACTGACCCTGGGGTGGAACAATCACTCTTGAGCCTCGAAGGAGACATCCATTAGCTACACTGAGTTCTACGAAACAGTGCGAATAAGGTTTCAGTTGTGGAGCATCATCAGGTACCTCCCCTCCAGTGAGTACTATCTGACGTAACCTTGATAAGTTTGGATCCTTATCTGTCCACATCTTAATATCATCAGCTGAAACTATAGCTTCTGAAATATGTTCAAACATTAGCACTACATCTTGTGGTACAGGGACAGAAGAAGGGAAGTTAGGAAGTGGTAGTCTGCTCAATGCATCTGCATGTGGAATTAATTTACCTGGTTTGTACTGGATAACATAGTTATATGCTGATAGTGCAATTGCCCAACGTTGGATACGAGATGAGGCAAGTAGAGGAATCTGTTTAGACTCGCTCAGGAGAAACTGTAGTGGTTTATGGTCAGAATGAAGGACAAATTTTCTACCATAAATGTAATCATGAAATTTGCGAACAGCAAAGATAAT